ACACCCAGCTTTCTCTTGCTGGTGTCAGGACTGCCCCTGGCATCACTGTCCTGGACAGCCTGCAGAGGGAGAGCAGTGTCGGGTGCAGCTACCAAACAAACTGCAAAGAGACACCTGGTGACGGAGATTCCCAGGTGACTAGCAGGACCATTCATGATCACATCATACATCATATTCACATCAGTACCTCAGACTATGCTGTGAAAAGATCTGTTTCCATCCTGTGGAGGGAAGCATCTGCAGTTTGGGCTTGCCACCTTGTAGTCCCAGGACCCTCACTGACCTCCTAGGGTTTCTTTAGCCTGGGCTGCATTCTGAATGCATGTGTTACCTGAGTCTCATTTAGTCTCCACTTGCCCAATGCTCACAGGGCCACAGCCTCTGTGTGCTGGCTGCTGTGGGTTCCCAGGTCTCAGACTGGAAAGATTGATGGCTTGGGTACAGAGGATCCGGGCTGCCTTATCCTGGGCTGGGCTGCAGTGCCAAGTGTGGGCAGCTTTTAACCAAGACAGCAAATGTGGTATGATGCAACACTGCAAGGATGCCTGAGGAGCCATGGGAGCATCAGGTCACTGCTTGGGCCAGGGAAGACTTCAAGCAGGAGACCTCACTGACCTCCACTCACTGGCTGGACATATTTTTCCAAGGTCACAGTCAGCCTATGGTGACATTTCCCTTCATCTCCTAAGCATGAAGAGGTCATGTGGTGGGTGCCAGGGTTTCCAGAGAGGCAGATGAGCTGCCACAGCTTATTCCTAAAAGTATGTGTGCCCTGATGAGGCAGGCAGTGGATCAGAGCAGCAACACCAGCAGGGAGCCACAGAGAGCCACATCCCCTTCCTCTCTTCCGCAGTCATTCCATACCATCTCAGCAGAGACACCCATCCCCAAACCCAGTTTGAGGCTTGCATCTGGTTTCTTCTCCACAGCTGTTCAGGAATGGCCCCTCCTGCCAGCCCCACAGCCTGTGAAGGTCCAGTGCACACCCTCAGGAGCATCCCTTTTCATCTGTGCCCCGCTCTACTTAGACTGTGAGTTTGAGGAGGTCAGACCTGGAGTTCCCTCCCACCTCGTGCCCCTGGGCCCAGTGGGGTTTGATATGTGTGCCTACTCCACAACCAGGTGATAAGCAAGCCAATAATGGCATGTGATCACCCGGCTGTGCCAGACTCATGTATTCTGTCTGGTTTGTTTTGAGACAAGGTCTTATTGTAGCTAGCCATGAAGACCTAGGTGGCCTTCTGCCTCAACCTCCCAGCTCCTGACATTCCAGGTGTGTGCCACCACACCTGAATTAGTTAATCCTTGCAACAATTGTGAAATTGGCACTATTAACGTTTCCAAAAGGGGAAACTGAGGCACAGAGTGTTTAGGCAATATCAAGGTCACACAGCCAGTGAGCGCTGAAGCCATGATTCCAAGATCAGGCATTCTGACTCCTGACACTATAAATTATGAATGAACGGCATCCTAGAAGTTAAGGGGAGGGTCAAGCAGACCCTGAAGGCCCCTGCTGCCTTCCAAATCCTTGTCCATGCTCCACTGCAGATGGCCAGTTCACCCCACAACCTCATGAAGACTCACTGTGAGTCCAAAAAAGCCCTACTGACGTGTCTTGGCAGCCGCCTGCCTATCCAGCACTGGAACTCAGTGATTACTTGGATCGCCAGGCCCTGTGCGTCTCTTGACTCACCTCCACCACCCCACACCCCATCACTCTCAGTCCAGCCCCTTCCTCACCAGCCATGTCCTCCTGTGGAGGCAATCAGCCCCCTCCCCGCCACAGTGGTCTGGCTTATGGATAAGGGATGCTGTCCGGCTCTCAGGGGACAGAAATCCAGAGTCCAGCACTCCCTGGTCTGAGGTATGGGTTGGGGACTTTTGTTGGTCTTTATCTCAACTTCCCTTTTATTAGAAAGTATGAAGCCTATACAAAAGAATTGGTGGTAAGAGGGCACTGGGTGGAGCCTGCAGGTGTGCCCACAGCCTGGGACCCTGAGCACCCTTTCCATACCTCCAAGCCAAGTATGAAGGTACATGGTTGGCTAGTCTAGTCCAGAAAGCCCATGATGTCTCTGGAAATGTCTTGCAAGTTTGCCTTCAAGAGTTTTATCTTTGCTTTCTGGTTTTTACAGTTGGGGGGTGTTTTCTATTTATTTATGTTTATTTTATGCATATGGGTGTTTTTCCTATACATATGTATGTACACTACATGTGTACAATGCCTGCAGAGGCCAGAAGGAGGCGTTGGAACCCCTGGAACTGGAGTTACAGATGGTTATTAGCCTCCACGTACCCCAGGCTGGCCTTGGACTTCTGATCCTCCTGCCTTCCTCCTTGGAGTTGGGATTACGTGTGTGTGGCAGATGTTTCCAGAGACATCATGGGCTTTCTGGACTAGAGTAGCCAACAACTGTACCTTCATACTTGGCTCGGAGGTATGGAAAGGGGGCTCAGGGTCCCCTGGCTCTGGGCACACCTGCAGGCTCCACCCAGTGCCCTCCACCCATGGCTGGTTTATGCAGTACTGAGGATGGAGCCCAGGGCTCCATGCATGCTAGAAGAGTACTGTAGGCACCAAGCTGCACTCCCAGCCCTAGACGTCTATCTTAATGTTCATTTCACCAATGTGAGGATTTGGTTCCGCTGATTGATGAGGGAGGGTTTTGTAATGCATACCATACTAAGCATTTTATATGCAAGGACTTTTAATCTTCATGACAACTATACTACCATTTCCTTTTTTGAAGAGAAGAAACCAGGTTTACAAGCTCTAAGTGACTTGCCCTAGTCCGTGTAAAGAGTATATAAAGAGTTTATGTCCTAGCCAGGGTTCCGCCCAGGCCCGGGACCCTCAAGGGACACTTTGTTCTCTACCAGCCTAGCTGTCCATTTGCAGCATAGACACGTGGCTGGTTTGACTTCCACATGTTCTAAGTCTCTCCCCCAGGCTCATCCTAGGGGTATACAGAACCCTCGGCCTGAACTGTGTTCTGTGTTTTCTGTAGGCCACAGGGGTCACTGCAGAGCCACTTCCTGGTATCTGTCCCTGAATCTAGCGACATCCCTCTAGGCAGGAAATGAGTGAAGCGTGCATGCCATTAGGCTGGTGGCCTGGCACCAGCAACCTGAGAACAGCCACTCAGAGAATATGGGGCTCCATCCTCTTGTTGCATCCTGGGTGCCCACAATGACCCTCACCATCGAGGTTGCTCTTCCAGGCTCCTGTGGGCTGCAGGTCCTGGGTGAGGCCCCTGCTTAGCACTGGGATAGAGCTGGCTCACAGAGCCCTGGGGAAGAGAGGTCAGGGTATGATTGTCCACTGTAGAGAGATGGGCATATGGGAGAGTCTCTGCATTACTGGAAGCCTCTGCAGGGGTGTCTGAAATCGGGGACAGCAGCAGCCAAGGGTGAAGCAGATGAAGTCATGCCCATGTTTGGTGACCTTCCACCACTGCCTTGAGGAGCTGAGTAGGTCTTTGGTTCACACTGCTGGCCAGGGCATGTTGGTGGTATGCCCACCCCGGATGCCACCAAAACGCAAGAGAAGGAAACAGTAACGGCTGTTGCTGGTGTGATGCTTTTTTTCTGATCTTCTTGGGGGTGCTCAGCTGTCCTCATCCTCTTCCTCTTGATGTCGCACCATTTCGGCAACTCAAGTCACAATTGCATCTTCCACAGATGGGAGGGGTTCATCCTACCTTAACTGTTGGAAGCTTCCAGAATGGGGTCTTGTCTGTCAGAAGGTGGGAGCCTTCCCAGAGAAGCCTAGCTAAAGCCAGAGATTGAGGTCAGCACTGAGGTGTCAAGCTGCCAGGATCCCAGGATCCTCATGAATTTTTGTCAGAGTGGGAGCTGTTGGGAAAAAGGAGATGCCAGATGAAGTCGCCCACCTAGCCCCCAAGCGTCTGTTTCCTATAGGGAGATTAGGAAGGAAAGATCCCTAATTTGGTGTTCTGGTTTGGTTTCTATGTTGCTGAGAAAAAGCACTAAGAAAACCAATTTGGAGAGAGGAAAGTTAAGTTCGGCTTAGGTTTGCAGTACTCTTTGAGGAAACCCAGCACAGGAACTCAGGCAGGAACTGAAGCAGACCCAGTGGAGGAACGCAGCTCACTGGCTCACCCCAGACTCACATCCAGCTACCTTTCTTTTTTTTAATATTTTATTATTTTAATTTATGTGTATGAGTGTATTGTCTGCATGTGTGTAAGTGTACCTGTGCTGTGCAGTGCCCGAGGAGGTCAGAAGAGGGTGTCAGATTCCTGGAACTGGAGTTACAGGCAGTTGTTAGCTGCCATGTGGGTGCTGGGAATTGAACCCAGGTCTTCTGCAAGGGTAGCCAGTGCCCTTAACCACCGAGCCATCTCTCCAGCTTCTTAAGTACTTTTCTTGTACAGCCCAGACCCACCTGCTCAGGGATGGCACCACCCACAGTGGGCTGGACCCTCCTACATCAATCAGCAATCAAGGAAAGTCCCCACAGACATGCACACAGGCCAGTGTAATGGAGGTGATTCCTCAGGGTCTCTCTTCCCAGATGATTCTAGTTTGTGCTGTCTAGTTGACAAAGCTAAGCAGCACACTTGGTCTTTGTGTTGCATTATTCTAGAATGTACCACTTGATCAGAGTAGGACAGCAAGACCTCTTTCATGAATCTATGTGGTGACTGGGGTTGTGTCCGCTTGTGGGTATGTATGTGTATGTGTGTATACACACATGTGCACATACACTTGTTCTCAGAACCAGCCCACTCCAGTGGCTTCTGGCTTTCAGAGGGCATGAAGATGGTTCCTTAGAACATGCTAATGGGCATTTGGAATCAGGATGTCCGTGGGCTGTCTAGCAGCCAAGAACGTTAGTACTCATGAATGTGAGTCTTGACTCTGGGACTGAGTAGACTAGTGAGAAGGGCGAGGGGGTTTGAGAGTCTGTAGAGGAGTCACTATGTGGGTTTCCCTAGAGGCTGCTAAGCTCTTGATTTTGCCTGACTGTCTTGCAGGAGCTATGTCGCCAGCGCATGGCTGTTCGGCCTCCAGACCGCCCTGAAGGCCCACACACATCCCGCATCAACAGTGTCTCATCCCAGTTCAGCGATGGGCCGATGCCCAGCCCTTCGGCTCGGAGCAGCACCTCATCCTGGTCTGAGGAGCCTGTCCAGTCCAACATGGACATCTCTACTGGACACATGATCCTGGTAAGTCCTGCATCCTCCGTGATGGTTCTGACCTCTGTGAAGGAAGGGGTGACAGGCAGTGGTCTCACAGGGTGCATTCTTCCTGTGCCCTGACAGGTGCTTCCTAACCTTGGAAGGTACCACATCTCCTCCATGAGTCTTCGATATAAGCAAAAGGCATGATGTTTATCACCAAAATCTTTCTGTTCTGCTTAGAGCACACATAATGTGTGTGAGTACTTGCTCTCTTGTGTTTGAGATAGAACGCTAGCATCTCATGTGAGTGCTTGGAATGCCCGCCCGCTGGCGCTCACTGTGTAAGCCACTCTGTTGGTCTTTGCCTCCTTAACCCTCAGTTTCTAGCCCAACAAGTGCTGTCTGTGTAAACAAATGCAATTCATGTGTAATTTAGAGCTGATGGTCAGGTGCAGGAGGTGTGGGCCATGCTTAACCCATCTCAAGAGCCTTTTGAGGTGCAAATGCCAAATGCCACGGCGGCGCAAGACTTCAAGGCCTTTTCTTCAGTGCCTTTTCCTGGTGTCCTCTCTGCAGTGATGGAAGATGGAGTGGCTACGTTGCCTCATGGTGCCTTATTAATGTCTGATTTCACTGGGAGAGAGATTCATAACTCAGTACTCCTTCAGGTCATCCCAGCAGCAGGCATCTCCCTGTTGAGGGACTGTGAGGTAGAAATGCAAACAGCAGGTGACCATGTTATCACTCACATAGAGACAGGGCCTCCACCAACATGAGGCAGAGCCTGGTCCCCTGCTTTGGAGGCACCTGCTGTGATCAGATTGGGGAAACACTGTCCCTGTATCTCAAGACAACCCAACAAGTTGTCCTTACACTTTGGGGTTCCTTCCTTAGATGACTACCTAGTCAAAATGTAGCCTGGAGGCCACAGGAAGCTGGAAAAACTGTTTCTTGCTAAGAAGCCTCCCGGCAGAGCTGGCAGACCAGGCAGAGATGGTATTGACTGAGACGTATGCATAAACACCTAAGTCAAAGGTTGAGGGATCTTGATAACCTAGACCCACGTGGACACGTAGGGAGGCAGAGGCACATGGCAGCCCGCTTCCCAGATAGCACATGGTCACAGGAAAACCTCCCCTTTCTGTGCTGACCACGGGGCCAGTTTGTACCCGTTTCTTTTCTTTGTGATATGGGGGACCCCCCCCAAATGCTCTCTCTGCTGCCTCAGAGTCAGGACAGACAGGGAGGGCTCCTCACACTCAGGGATGTTTGTCTTTCACTAAGCAGGCATGTGTCAGACTTGTACTATGTGCTTACCGACCTTTGAAGTGACAGACCTCTTTCTGAACAGCAGTTGCTAAACTTGGATCTGACTTCTCAAGGACTTTGACATTTGTTCCTTTTAGAAAAGTGACTGAGAAGTCCAGCCCCATAATGAGATTTGTTGCTGGGCATCAGGAGGCAGTAAGTGTGCTTGTTGACAAGTTGGTCATAAGAGAGGCTCATTTTGGCTTGTGCAATTTGACACTCATATTCAAAACTTTGGGTCACAGTTTGGTGATACCTCAAGTCTGGTAGTACCTGAAAATACATTTTTCATAGGAAATTGTGTTTTGACAGCCATATGTACTATGACAGATCTCAGGATGGACTCAGCCTCTAACCAGTGACTACCTCGCTGTCCTAAAACAAGGTAGCCCAGGCAGAGGTCAGTGAAGCCACCAGACCCATCACAGGCATCTCCCTGAATATATTCATGACTTAACCTGTCTGCCACACCAGACCTACCTGGAAACACAGTCAAAGCATGGTAGGGGTGGTGCCAGCCACCACAACTCCCTTTACCCAGATCAGAAGCCCCATGAAACCCTGGCTTTCCTAAGAATCGACGCTTTCTCTGCAGGGTATATAACAAAGCACCTTCCTTCAAGACACAGGCCTCTGTGAGAGGAAGGGATATTCTCTGCGCACAGTAGCCCTGGTTTCCTCTACAGCGAGGGTCATGCTACATAGGGTCTTGCCCCAGAATTTCTCTAGTACTGGAGCCTAGAAGCCCAGAGCCCTGGCCAGTTTCCCCAGATGATCCCACTACCTCCACGCACAGGCCCTGAGACTCATCTCAGACTCTAGAAGGGCAGACCTGCTTCAGAATGGAGGCCAGGAGAACATGTGTCTAGCACCCCAGAGTTAAACTCAGGCAGCAGCCCCCTTTCTGCATGGGCTCTGGATGCTGTCATGTCAGCCTCTCAGAGCTGACCTTTGGCTCATTAAAGCTACAAGGAAGATAATTACAGTCATCAGTCAACCTGACCCTCAGTAGGAAAATGCACGTTAACTGGTCAGCTGGTAGGACCAGTGTATGAACTACGTGGTAAGGATCCAGGGCCTGTCAGGTAAATCCAGGACTCCAGGTGTTTGGCCATGAATCTGTTCTAGTGGAGCGTTAGGCAAAACGTGACATTACAGCATAAAGCTCTGAAGAAAGCCAGCGAAAACCCTTTAAACTCCAGGTTGGGCTGTTAACCAGGAACTGGTCACCAGGACTCATCAGTAGCTGAATACTCTCCTGTGGCACTAGGGTGCTGAGGGGGATCAATAGGAGTGACTCCTGCGGGATGGGCCTCAGATATGAGCCCCACTCCCCTATTGATGTTGGTCTCTGACACTCCTTCATGTTCTATAACTTCATGCTAGACTCTAGACTGCTTGGAACCCCATCCCTTCAGCAGGTGGAGGGTGAAGGACTTGGCTGTCAGGGGAGGTCTTATACAGAAAGAGGTCTGCACCAGATAACAGCTTTCCTGGGCTGTGTAACCACTGATGGAACCAGCTTTGGTAATGGACAGTCACCAAGAAGAGAGCCAAGCAGGACTGACCACAGGGAGGCCTCTGCTGGTGTCACTGCAGAAAGAACAGACACACAGGAGTCAGAAGAAGGGCAAGATGCTTGGGAAAGGGGCTAGCAGGACATGGGGGGGAGTAGGCCGGGCGCATTGTCAGAGCTGTCCCTGGTATTGGCAGCACAGGTCCAGACTTGAGCAGGGGCATGGTTCTGGGGTCCCCTAAACTTGGGGTGAAGCCTTTGACACTTGCTGCCTGCCTGGTCTGAGTCTGATCCCATACCCACTACCTCTGGGCAGGAGTGCCTTTCTCCAGCCCTGTGAGTGTAAAGCAGGACGTGCCTGTAAGATGCACCTGGTACCTGCAGATGCTCCCCAACCTGCAGTCACAGTTAAGCCACAGAGGAAAGGGACCCGGCTGCCCACCTGGGCCACGTTCTGAAAGCTCAGCTCCTTCTGTGTTGCTGGACTTTGTGTTTTGTTCCTGTTGTTATTATTCTGTCTTCATTTCCTTGGAAGACGCCTTCTTAAAATGTTTTTACTTTATCGTCAGTGTGTTCACCATACATATGCATGGGGTTAACACAGTATCTCAACATGTGCACCCGGCTTATGCCGGTCAAATTCATTCCGCCTTATCCATCCCTCTTCCCAACCTCTAGTCACCACTGTTCTGTGTTCAGGATGAGAAGGCTCCAGCCCTAGGGTTGGGAAAACGAACCAGCCTCAGGGCTGGGACAGAGAGAGAATGTGGCTCAGCATACAGTGCAGTGTTAGTTACGGAGAATGGGTGGAACTGGAGGACACTGCATGAGCCGAAATAAGCCAGACACAGAAGTACAAGCACCGTGTGTGCACTCTCATGCAGAGGAAGTTGCCTTTTTAAAATAACAAGTTTCTGGCCAACGGATAAAGATGCCCGTCACCAAGTCTGCATCCTGAGTTCAATCCCTAGACCCACAAGGTAGGATAAAGCACATCCCTGAAGTTGTCATGTGGCTTTCACACATGCAGTGCACACTGTTCACACACTATGCACACCAAATACATAGAAATGCAACAAAAATTACAAGTTTCTTCAAAGTAGAACAAATTAGTTTTTTAAAACCACAGCTAGTGTGGGATATACCTGTATGACCCCGGGCATACATCCGAAGGAATCTATGCCAACATGCAAAGGGATGCCTGCCCATCCATGCTTGGTGCTGCTCTGGTTACAGCAGCCAAATTATGGAACCACCCTGCGTGTGCAGCAACAGATAAATAGGCAAAGAAACATGGCCTATAGACAGGGTGGAGTATTAGTCAGCTGTAAAGAAGAATGAAATCATGCCATTTGCAGGGAAATGGATGGAACTGGAGCTCATCATGTGATGAAAGACAAGCCACACTCAGAAAAGGACTGTGTTGTCACTCACACACAGAACTAGCTTTGAAGGACTTAAGTACACAGTAGAAGGGAACTGTTGGGGAAGAAGAAAGGGCTGGTGGTCAGGGAGGGTAAGAGAACGTTATGGTCATGAATATGATCCCAGTCCCCCCCCATAAAAAGCCAAGTATAGCTGTGTACATGCCTAAAACCCCAGCACTGTGAGAGACAGGAGGATTACTGGGGCTTGATGGCCTACAGGCTCAGTGAGAGAACTTGTCTTAAAGGGATGAGGCAAAGATGACACAGCAGGACACCTGCTGAACTCTCTGGCCTCTACACAGGTATGTGCACATACACCAATACACATACACCTACACACATACCCCCCCCACACACACACACAGTCAGGCATAGTGGCATTTACACATAATCTAGCACTCACAGACTGAGGCAGGAGGATAAGTTTTAAACAGCCTGGGCCACATAGCAAGACAGTACCTCAAGAAACCACAATTGAAAAAAAAAAAAAGATTCTAAGTTTGTTTTTAAGGAGCGCAGGGGAAAGGATCTGGTGCCCCTAGACCCCTCACACCAACTGCTCTGGAAGATGGACTGCATGGGCAGAAGGTGGGGCAGGGGGTGGGGGTGGGGTTGCCATCCTGGGGAAGGTTAGTAGAGGCTGGCAGGATGGCTGAACCAGGAAAACTGTCATTAGGACTCCTTACAGCTTATCCTCTTCTCCTGGCTTGGTCCTTTTTTTTTACTCTGACATCCCCGCTACTGTCTGCTGTGTTGTCGTACTGCCTGCTGTGTTGTCAGCACCCCCAGCCATT